TCGAAAAAATTCCCCCCCCCCCCCCCCCTCTCTCTCTCTCTCTCTCTCTCTCTCTCTCTCTCTCTCTCTCTCTCTCAGGTCCAGACTGCTCACTAACAGTGCCCTCCACAGAGTCTTACTGGATCATGCCCACAGTGAAGCCTTTTGGAGCATCACTGGGAAGAGCATCCCATAAGGCGGTGGTACAGGAAAAGGTCATGTGGGTTGTTGGTGGCTACACCTTTAACTACAGCAACTTTCAGATGGTTCTAAAGTAAGTGATAATTCAGAGATCTGTGTACAGCATAACCAAAAAGGCATATTTGCATATGTGCAAATGTGACAGTAATCCAAAATAAAAATGTAGAACAGCAGGAATAATAATAATACTAATAATAAATCAGTGTGAGCTGTGGTAGGAGTAGAGTTAGATTAATTTGACAGTTTGAGGGTAGAAACTGTGAGTCTAAATGTTCTCTGAGGGAACTCTTTGTATAGTGAGCAATTTCAACATTGTGGATTTGACATTTCAGTCAAAACTCGAAATGTGACTGGGAGAAAGTACTAATTACAGGAATATTGGATAATTTGTGTAATTCTGAAGCCATCTTGAAGTCTGAACAATGTTTTTTTCCACTTTAGCTATGGAAATGAACAGTGAATTGTGTTAGGATATCAACTTTTTTTTTTTTGCAGTTATAATTTGGAAAGTGGCATCTGGAACACTGTGCCCATCAGTAGCGGACCCCTGCCGAGCTACGGACACTCCTGGGCACTAGATCGGGTAACATCACAGTTGAAATTAGGGATGCACCGATATGAAAATTTTGGCCGATACCGATAACCGATTATTCTTTATTTTTGAAAGCCGATAACCGATATGTTGGCCGATAAATCTATATCCAAATTGTTATATACTTTTTGAGAGCCTGATTACAAAAAAGGTCTCATCATTAAAAGCCACATCCCAAACACTTCAACATAAGCAGCCTAGTTTGAACGGTGTACGTTTTAAAAATATGTTTACTCTCCCATTACCAAATTTAGTCATAAAAAAGCCTTACAAATAAATAAAATTATGCATAAATAATGCAAACAAGTCACTGGACATCATTACACATGTAAAGAATCAAAATGAATGCGCCACAGATCAATAAAACAGAATAGCCTCTGCACGGACAATAATTAAATGATTTTAATTACTAAACCATATTGTTGATGAAAATAATAAGAGAAAAATACAAGTGGTTGTTGTTATTAATAATATATCAATGATTTTGAAAAAGTAACAAATTAATACCACTGTTTTAAATAGCAGCCATTGAGCTGCAGCTCAAGCTGAAGCTGAAGAGCTGAATGAACACGGTAAACTGAAGCGTTTTGCTGGCAGCTTATTTAACTCAAGGAAATGCATCCTGAGATTAATATTAATACAACATAAACATAATATTACAACTTATATATGTACAAAATGACGCAGTTATTGCATGCTATAGTCAGAATGTGTGATCCTGTTGTGGATGCGCTCTTCCCATAACAACGCGCTGAAACACAGCAACTAAACCCAAAGAATGCACAACGTTTTATTATAATAATGTTCTCATTAGAATGTTATATACACGACATTCCCAATCATAGTTATTAATGTTGTGCACTGCTGTTTGAGCTGCGTGCGCTGAGCTAAAGACGATCACCGGTAAACTGAAGCGCTCTTTTAACTTAACCAAACGCATTCTATATGAGATAAATCAGATATACATCAAATAAACACAATATTACAACGTACAATTGCACAAAAGGCTGCAAACGAACAGCGCACATCTGAAGTGTCTATGAAGGAAATAATGCATTATTTATCGGCTTTAAGATATCGGCCAAATTTTCTTATCAGGCCGATACCAATAACAGAAAAAATGAGGCGATATGGGCCGATACCGATATGGTGGCCGATATATCGTGCATCCCTAAAAAAAAACCTTGCCCTGTGCCAAAAAATAGAAATAATATTATATTATATTATTGATTGTTAGATATTATAACACACACACGCACATAAACATATATATATATATATATATATAT